ACGCACGGAGAGCCAGCTCTTGCGCGGCGCCCAGGATTGTAACAAGCGTGTTGGCACCAAACATCCTGAAAAGTCGGGTCACATATTTTAATCAAGAACGGAATTGGGACTGAGCGTCTTTCAAACCACCCGGGGCGCAAACCGTTGGAGGCCGGCGACCCAACACAAGCCGTGTGTAGTAGCCACCTCGACCCCAGGTTGTGGCAGTAGTAGGGCCTACAAAAAGAGTAAGGTTGTACAATTTTCTACTAAAAGCATCGACCCGATTCTATTTGTGCCGAACTTGAGCTATCCGTCCCTTGCAGAACACGGGGCCGCTGGTGCCGGCCACTGGCTCACCACTGGCTGGCCACTGGCTCACCACTGGCTGGCCACTGGCTCACCACTGGCTCACCACTGGCTGGCCACTGGCTTACCACTGGCTCACCGCTGGCTCACCACTGGCTCACCGCTGGCTGGCCACTGGCGCCAGGCGACGCGTCCGTGCATACGCGCGTGTCACACGCGCGGTGAACGCGGGCGACCCGAGGGTGGATTTCACAGCCACAGCTCACATCAGTGGCGACGATCCGAACTGGTCCACCCACCGCCCCACCTCCACCAACCTGCATTGATCTAACTAGTGTGGTGAAGTATGGTCAAGACAAGAGGCCTTCATACAGCAGTGGACTTGCAGAGGGTTGTGCGTACGTAGTGTACTGTGTGTTTGGGTGTTTGTGTATCTGGGTGTTTGTGTATCTGGGTGTTTGTGTATTTGGGTGTTTGCGTGTGCGCTTGTGTGCTGGTGTGGGGAGCGGTGGCTCCGTGGTTAGCGCATCACGCTCAGAACCCGGCGACCCGAGTTTTATGCTCGCCCACGACCAAAATCAGTGGCGATTATCCAAACTGATGCTGAGCCTCCCCGAGATCGACTCAGCCTTAAATGGCGTCCAGCGCAGTGTGCATCCATCAGCATTGGGGAGACAAAGGCGGCCGGGCGTGGTGCTGGCCATTCACAACCTCATCTGCAGTGCCGGCCTTCAAAGGGGCTCACTTACAGCACTTGTCTCAACAGTCTGTGAAAGGCTATATGGGGGATATTTGTGTGTGTGTGTGCGTGTGGTATTTGATGTCCCACAGAATGTGTATTAGAGGATTCTGTTTGTTTTCATGAGGCTGGGAACGCAGTACAGAGTCTGATTCTCTAGAGATGACATACACACACACACTCGCAACCACGCACGCACATACAATACCAGGCGAACGTATACACACATACACACAGTTACACAAAGACAAAGATCCTTTGTATAGCCTGTAACAGACTGTAGGGGCAAGTGCTGTTAGCGAGCACCTATGAAGGCTACCGGCACGGCGCACGAGGGGGTGGGTGGCCAGCCACCACGCCCGACCGCCTTTGTCTCCACAGTGGCGATGTTTACACGCCGCACCAGGTACTCATTTGAGGCTGAGTCGACCTAGGGGAGGAGCCCCAGGACCGGTTCAGATATCCGTCACCGGTGTTGGCCGTGAGAAAGAAATGGAACTCGGGCCGACGGGTTCGTGGCGCAGTGTGCTAACCGCTGCACCACTGCTCCCTGAACGATGGCGTAAAAAAAACCCATACACGCAGTAACACAAACACACGGGTACAGATTATCTGCTAATTATGCAGATGTTGCCTCAAGAAGATGATTCCTGGTCCAAATACAGTGTGAGGGCAGGAGCGAGTGTGGTGGTGAGCGTGGTGGTGAGTGTAGTGGTGAGTGTTCAGTGTGAGTGGTGTGGTGAGTGTTTAGGTAGTGTGAGTGTGGTGGTGAGTGTGAGTGTGTTGGTGAGTGTGAGTGTGGTGGTGAGTGTGGTGGTGAGTGTTTAGGCAGTGTGAGTGGTGTGGTGAGTGTTTAGGTAGTGTGAGTAGTGTGGTGGTGAGTGTGAGTGTGGTGGTGAGTGTGAGTGTGGTGGTGAGTGTGAGTGTGGTGGTGAGTGTGAGTGTGGTGGTGAGTGTGAGTGTGGTGGTGAGTGTGAGTGTGGTGGTGAGTGTGAGTGTGGTGGTGAGTGTGGTGGTGAGTGTGGTGGTGAGTGTGGTGGTGAGTGTTTAGGTAGTGTGAGTGTGGTGGTGAGTGTGAGTGTGGTGGTTAGTGTGGTGGTGAGTGTGGTGGTGAGTGTGAGTGTGGTAGTGAGTGGTGTGGTGGTGAGTGTGAGTGTGGTGGTGAGTGTGAGTGTGGTAGTGAGTGTGGTGGTGAGTGTGAGTGTGGTGGTGAGTGTTTAGGTAGTGTGAGTGTGGTGGCGAGTGTGAGTGTGGTGGTGAGTGTTTCGGGAGTGTTAGTGTGGTGATGAGTGTGGTGGTGAGTGTTTCGCTTGTGTGAGTGTGGTGGTGAGTGTGGTGGCGAGTGTGAGTGTGGTGGTGAGTGTGGTGGTGAGTGTGAGTGTGGTAGTGAGTGTGGTAGTGAGTGTGGCGGTGAGTGTGAGTGTGTTGGTGAGTGTGTTGGTGAGTGTGGTGGTGAGTGTTTCGGGAGTGTTAGTGTGGTGATGAGTGTGGTGGTGAGTGTTTCGCTTGTGTGAGTGTGGTGGCGAGTGTGAGTGTGGTGGTGAGTGTGGTGGTGAGTGTGAGTGTGGTAGTGAGTGTGGTAGTGAGTGTGGCGGTGAGTGTGAGTGTGTTGGTGAGTGTGTTGGTGAGTGTGGTGGTGAGTGTGGTGGTGAGTGTGGTGGTGAGTGTGAGTGTGTTGGTGAGTGCGTTGGTGAGTGTGGTGGTGAGTGCGGTGGTGAGTGTGAGTGTGTTGGTGAGTGTGGTGGTGAGTGTAAGTGTGTTGGTGAGTGTGGTGGTGAGTGTGTGTTGGTGAGTGTTGTGGTGAGTATGAGAGTGTTGGTGAGTGTGGTGGTGAGTGTGGTTGTGAGTGTGAGTGTGGTGGTGAGTGTGGTGGTGAGTGTGTTGGTGAGCGTGGTGGTGAGTGTGTTGGTGAGTGTGTTGGGGAGTGTGGTGGTGAGTGTGGTAGTGAGTGTGGCGGTGCGTGTGTTGGTGAGTGTGTTGGTGAGTGTGGTGGTGAGTGTGGTGGTGAGTGTGAGTGTGGTGGTGAGTGTGGTGGTGAGTGTGGTGGTGAGTGTGGTGGTGAGTGTGGTGGTCAGTGTGAGTGCGGTGGTGAGTGTGGTGGTGAGTGTGTTGGTGAGTGTGTTGGTGAGTGTGGTGGTGAGTGTGGTGGTGAGTGTGAGTGTAGTAGTGAGTGTTTAGGTAGTGTGAGTGTGGTGGTGAGTGTGAGTGTGGTGGTGAGTGTTTATATAGTGTGAGTGTGGTGGTGAGTGCTTAGGTAGTGTGAGTGGTGTGGTGGTGAGTGTAAGTGTGGTGGTGAGTGTTTCGCTTGTGTGAGTGTGGTGGTGAGTGTGGTGGCGAGTGTGAGTGTGATGGTGAGTGTGGTGGTGAGTGTGAGTGTGGTAGTGAGTGTGGCCGTGAGTGTGAGTGTGTTGGTGAGTGTGTTGGTGAGTGTGGTTGTGAGTGTGTTGGTGAGTGTGTTGGTGAGTGTGGTGGTGAGTGCGGTGGTGAGTGTGAGTATGTTGGTGAGTGTGGTGGTGAGTGTGAGTGTGTTGGTGAGTGTAGTGGTGAGTGTGGTGGTGAGTGTGTTGGTGAGTGTGGTGGTGAGTGTGGTGGTGAGTGTGGTGGTGAGTGTGAGTGTGGTGGTGAGTGTGGCGGTGAGTGTGAGTGTGGTGGTGAGTGTGGCGGTGAGTGTGTTGGTGAGTGTGTTGGTGAGTGTGGTGGTGAGTGTGGTGGTGAATGTGAGTGTGTTGGTGAGTGTGGTGGTGAGTGTGGTGGTGAGTGTGGTGGTGAGTATGAGTGTGGTGGTGAGTGTGGTGGTGAGTGTGTTGGTGAGTGTTTTGGTGAGTGTGAGTGTGGTGGTGAGTGTGAGTGTGGTGGTGAGTGTGAGTGTGGTGGTGAGTGTGGTGGTGAGTGTGAGTGTGGTGGTGAGTGTGGTGGTGAGTGAGGTGGTGAGTGTGGTGGTGAGTGTGTTGGTGAGTGTGAGTGTGGTGGTGAGTGTGGTGGTGAGTGTGGTGGTGAGTGTGAGTGTGTTGGTGAGTGTAGTGGTGAGTGTGGTGGTGAGTGTGGTGGTGAGTGTGGTGGTGAGTGTGAGTGTGTTGGTGAGTGTGGTGGTGAGTGTGGTGGTGAGTGTGAGTGTGTTGGTGAGTCTGGTGGTGAGTGTGGTGGTGAGTGTGAGTGTGGTGGTGAGTGTGGTGGTGAGTGTGGTGGTGAGTGTGTTGGTGAGTGTGGTGGTGAGTGTGAGTGTGGTGGTGAGTGTGGTGGTGAGTGTGGTGGTGAGTGTGAGTGTGTTGGTGAGTGTGGTGGTGAGTGTGGTGGTGAGTGTGGTCGTGAGTGTGGTGGTGAGTGTGAGTGTGTTGGTGAGTGTGGTGGTGAGTGTGATCGTGAGTGTGGTGGTGAGTGTGAGTGTGGTGGTGAGTGTGAGTGTGTTGGTGAGTGTGGTGGTGAGTGTGGTGGTGAGTGTGAGTGTGTTGGTGAGTGTGGTGGTGAGTGTGTTGGTGAGTGTGGTGGTGAGTGTGTGTGTGGTGGTGAGTGTGGTGGTGAGTGTGTTGGTGAGTGTGAGTGTGTTGGTGAGTGTGAGTGTGTTGGTGAGTGTGGTGGTGAGTGTGGTGGTGAGTGTGTTGGTGAGTGTGGTGGTGAGTGTGTTGGTGAGTGTGGTGGTGAGTGTGAGTGTGGTGGTGAGTGTGAGTGTGGTGGTGAGTGTGGTGGTGAGTGTGAGTGTGGTGGTGAGTGTGGTGGTGAGTGTGGCGGTGAGTGTGAGTGTGTTGGTGAGTGTGGTGGTGAGTGTGGTGGTGAGTGTGGTGGTGAGTGTGGTGGTGAGTGTGAGTGTGGTGGTGAGTGTGGTGGTGAGTGTGGTGGTGAGTGTGGTGGTGAGTGTGAGTGTGGTGGTGAGTGTGGTGGTGATTGTGGTGGTGAGTGTGAGTGTGTTGGTGAGTGTGGTGGTGAGTGTGGTGGTGAGTGTTTTGGTGAGTGTGGTGGTGAGTGTGAGCGTCCTCACAGCTGCATGACGAGGTAGAGATGCGTCTTGCTCTCGTAAATGTCCTCCAGGGAAACGATGTTCTCATGCTTGAGCCTGAGCGTACACACACAGACACACACAGACACACAAAGACACACACAGACACACACATACACACGCGCGCAAACACAGACACACACAGACACACACACACAGACACACACACACACAGACACACACACACACACGTGCACACACGTGCACACACACTGCGTTACCGCCAGACACCACGATTCAATCCCCACTGCAGGTGACGCCAGCAGAGCTCAGAGCTCTCAGAGCTCAGAGCCGGCCCCTTCTGAGTCGTGGGTTCGGATCCAGGCTCTGCCCCACCGTGCAACCGTCACGTGTGATCCAACCCCCCCCCACCCACCCACCCCACCCGAGGTCCGTCTCCACCGTAGAAGACCCACGGGGAATTTGGCACAGGCAGAATGAAACACGCGGAGAACAGACGCGGGACGGTGCGCACGCGAAGGTAAGGCACCGATCCTAGCGCACGCATCGCGAGCGTTCGGGATCGATGTCCTCCGACATCGTTAGGGGCCGTCCATAAATGACGTAACGCACCTAGGGGGGGAGGGGTGTTGAGAAATGTGACGTCACGTAAAAATGCGCAACTTTAAATACAGACAGCACGTTCTACGGGGTCAAAAATCGCGTGACGTCATTTATGGACGGCCCCTCACGCCAAAACAATCCCTGCGGCGGTGGGTCACAGAAGGGTGCCCGAGCCGACAATCGAACCCACGTGGTCCCCGTGACTGCGACGCTGCGCCGCCGCCGCCGCCCCAGTCGACGGAGATGAGGTCACAAACCCAGGACTGTGACGCCACGAGTACGTCAGAGAGAGAGAGGCACGTGATGAACGAGCAATCTGCCATTGCCTTGGTGCACCAAGAGGGATATTGGTGCACATCGTGAAATCGCCTCGCCCCCTACCCCCCAACAGACCCCGCCCCCTACCCCCCAACAGACCCCGCCCCCTACCCCCCAACAGACCCCGCCCCCTACCCCCAACAGACCCCGCCCCCTACCCCCAACAGACCCCGCCCCCTACCCCCAACAGAGCCCGCCCCCTACCCCCCAACAGACCCCGCCCCCTACCCCCCAACAGACCCCGCCCCCTACCCCAACAGACCCCGCCCCCTACCCCCAACAGAGCCCGCCCCCTACCCCCCAACAGACCCCGCCCCCTACCCCCCAACAGACCCCGCCCCCTACCCCCCAACAGACCCCGCCCCCTACCCCCAACAGACCCCGCCCCCTACCCCCCAACAGACCCCGCCCCCTACCCCCAACAGACCCCGCCCCCTACCCCCAACAGACCCCGCCCCCTACCCCCAACAGACCCCGCCCCTACCCCCCAACAGACCCCGCCCCCTACCCCCAACAGACCCCGCCCCCTACCCCCCAACAGACCCCGCCCATCACAACCACTGCCGCACACCCCCCCCCACCCTTCTACAAACCCCCACCACTACCCCAAGCAGCCCAACTCCCCCCCCCTCCTCCCCCAGCGTGTCCCGGGTGGAAGGGGCGGGGCCGCAAGAAGAATGGGCGGGGCATAAAAAGGAAAGGCGCGGAGCTGAAAGAGTGAGCAGGTGGGCCCCAGAGAGGACGAACTTCCACGTCTATTGAAGGCAACAAACGCAGAGGAGATTTAAATGTGCGACAGGCAGCTAAGGGATAGCTTCAGTGCCGCCGATGCGGGCGCAGGCCAACAGCGTAATTAAAAAGCCAAACCTTGGTGCAGAGGAACGGAGCTGGCTGATGGATGATTTTCTCATCGGCTGAAAGGCAAACGCAGCTTTCACCGCTTACAGAATTAATCATCGTTAGACTGCAGCCGTCATACCCCTGAGCCTCGACACAAACAAGCGCTAATGAGAATCCCCGGGAAAATTAACCGGGTGTATATTTACAGACGCGCGCGCGCTCGCACGCACATACGAGTCGCTCAATTCAACGACACGTGACGGCGTTACGCAATCCGCTCACCGCAGCCAAGAGCTCGCGGGATGGCTCGGCCATCCACCCCATCTCTTCGGCGTTGATAAAATACGTACCCCCGCTCCGCGGCAGCGGACTTGAAAGACCGCCTTTGACCGTGGGAATGTGGAATTGGCGCACTGGCTCAAGTTGGCAAGCGCCATCGCCCTCCCCAATGCGTCTTCGCGCAGGAACCTGTGGAATTTTGACCGTAACACGAATCGAGGTGCCTCCGCGGCGCCGCTGCGCTTAGCCGCGTGGTACTTCACACCCAACAGAGGGTCCGTAAGCGCGCGTTGTGTAAATTCCACATTCCTATGGCAAGGCCCGGTCCAATCCACGATCCAACGCAAGGCGTTCCCGCCGGCTTCCCTGCACGCGGCGGGGAGCGTTCCCACGGGGGTGCAGATGAGCGCCGTCACTCCCGTGGAGGCCCACCGAGCGAGTCCACGTCCACGCTGCCAAGCCGCCGGCTGGCGGAGGAGGAGCCCGCCAGGCGAAAGCCACTCGCCCCGGGGCCGACGCTACCCGTTCCACCGGCGGCGGTCAGCTCTTCCGCTTCGCTTCCCCGGACTGCGTCACCGATCGGCAGGCGTGCCCTCCCGCCATTGACGATAATTGACGTGACGAGCGGTGGTTTGGGCGGCTGGGAGCGAAGCGGAGAGCCGAGCGACGGCCAAATCAACGCGAACACGACACATCTCGGTGGAGGGCGACCGGCCCGGGGGGCTCCGGCCAAGGAGCAGCCCCCAGTGGTTGTCTGGGGCCTTGGCTCAGGGTCAGAATCGTGGCCCCCAGTGGTTGTCTGGGGCCTTGGCTCAGGGTCAGAATCGTGGCCCCCAGTGGTTGTCTGGGGCCTTGGCTCAGGGTCAGAATCGTGGCCCCCCAGTGGTTGTCTGGGGCCTTGGCTCAGGGTCAGAATCGTGGCCCCCAGTGGTTGTCTGGGGCCTTGGCTCAGGGTCAGAATCGTGGCCCCCAGTGGCTGTCTGGGGCCTTGGCTCAGGGTCAGAATCGTGGCCCCCAGTGGTTGTCTGGGGCCTTGGCTCAGGGTCAGAATCGTGGCCCCCAGTGGCTGTCTGGGGCCTTGGCTCAGGGTCAGAATCGTGGCTTGGCTCGAGGCTTCGGCCGCCCGCGATCTAATTGGGTTCACGAGCGCTCCGGGCCAATGGCGTCAGCCACCGCCATCGATGGCCGCGCACACACACACACAAAAGCGAACATCACACTCACAATTAAGAGTCTCGCCCACATTCCAGCGACGAGGATTTCAAAAGGGGAGAGAGATCGGTTGGATTTCTCGGATCACATTTCTCATCTCCCGGGGGCCGCTCTCCGACACGTGGGGAGGTCCCACGGCTCGTTGCGAGACATCCGGAGGGAGACTTCTGCCCGTGATGCGATGTACCGGAATAACGGCACAATCGCTTGGAGTCCGAATGTCTCCGAGTTTGGGGGGGGGGGGGTTTATGTTATTTTGTTTTGTTAATTTTTTTTTTATCATTTTCCGCTTTACTTTATTCCATTCACCCAGGGTTTCCGTTGGGAACAAATGTGCATCCCAGTGTGTTGGCAGAGGCTCAAGCACAAGCCAACCTCACCACCTCCATCAACGTCATTGCTGCCTCTTATTAGAAAAAAAAAACCCCATCAGACATCATTTCCTCGTGAGATCGGCTGGTTATTGTCGAAGACACTCGGCAGTGCGCCATCCGGAAAATGTCGGATTGTACCGCGTGTTTGTTCGGCACGATGTCCGACGTTTCACCCCACAAGCCGGGAGCTGCTTCGGGCGAATAAGCGCCGGGCTCGCGGCACAAACCGCAACACAACCGCAAACGAAGCTCCGCAGCCGTAACGTGAATTGGGATGACCTAGGGGCACTCTGAAGTAACACGGATCGAAAGTCCTTCCCACTGTGCACGCACGCTTTCTGTACACGTCACGAGCGGCGTGTGACAATGTTGGCGATGAAGAACGGCGACGATGAGCTCACACCCCTAACTGGCACCGCGGGGAAGCTGGGTTGGTATCCAGGCAGCAGCCAGCAGCCGCCTGCGCAATCGACGCAGGCGGCACGCGCACACACGGGTCCAATCAGCCCATGTCCCCATGGCCAATGAGAGCACCAAGATTAAAAAAAAACGTGACAACGCGGATTTGACTGGTTTCCCCCCCCCCCCCCCACTGGCCCAGCAAAGCTGAGCACCTGATGCAGGAGGGATGCCTCCTGTACAACAATCGGCCCTCTGTGGGCATCCTCATGTGGCTCTTGTCATCTCTCGTGGCCGCCCCTCCGCCCCAGCGGCGCGCCACGCTCTTGATTAAGAGACATGCCGGGAGCTGAAGTGGAAATAATTGGTTGTAAAATCCCACCAACCCCCCCCGCCCCTTCCTCCATATATATGAATAAAAAATTACCGCCCACTCTAAAGCGGTAATTCCCAGATAGCACTTGAAGCGACGCGCAGCAGGTGACGGGGAGAGTTGCATAATTGGACATCGAGCGTTGTTCCCGCTCGCTCGCTCGCTCGTCCGCTCCGCGCACGGTGACAGCAGCTGTCAAAGCCGCTTCGCTCGCCACAGCGCTCGCTCGGACCGTGGCTCCCCGCGGTGCCGGCGCTAAGAGCCAGACGGGCACCAGTGAGGGCCACGTTTAATTATCTCACAATCCCTCACTGGAGCCACCGCGTTTCATCCACAAATTTTCTTTTTTTTAATTTACACATCCCATCAGTTTGGTTGTGTCGAACCAACGTTGCTGAAGTTACGCATTCCCAGAAGGCTTCAAATGGAGGGACAGGTGTGGGAAGGAGGTGTCTCGTCCGCCTACTCGCCACGTCGCTCCTCGTGTTCTCCGCAGCCTCGCTCGGTCCAAGCAACTCTGACCACGTGCCGTTTCTCTACGAAGCCGTGGCACATTTATCCAGGGCCCCACGGCGTGAAGTGCAATTTCAAAATATAAAGTCGATCTTCCCTCCCCCCCGCCCGCTCTCTGTCTTTCTCGGCTATCTGGCTAGTGCCCCTCAGCCCATTGTTTATTTCGCTGTTGTAATTACGAGAGT